AGCTCCTAGTTAGCAAAGTAACCTCGTCATCCGGGCAGTTGATTAGGGCGGTCGTCAACGGGCCGCAGCGCGTGCCAGGAACTATTTGCTTTTTCCAGGCTAATTTAGTCATTTTTCCAACTTTTCACTGTTTTGGCTACTTTTTCCAAGATTAGCAGCTCCTTATCTTCACAAGGTGGAAAAAATGACTAAATTAGCCTGGAAAAAGCAAATAGTTCCTGGCACGCGCTGCGGCCCGTTGACGACCGCCCTAATCAACTGCCCGGATGACGAGGGTACAGATCGGCTTATTTGGCTAGGAAATGAATGCTTACTAGCCGTTCTCGATGGATGCTGGCTAACTGGCGAGATGTCCCGCACCTTCAATTGAGTGCTACTCTTCGCTGCGATTCAAGAGCAGACTAGATTATATATTATGTCACACTCTAAGAAACTTTCCATTCTTAACTCAGAAATCGGCTGGCTTTTACTGCCGAGCCAACCTAACAATTGCTGAGACATACCTCACCGATGACACGACGGATCAACCAAGCAGGAAGTCCCCTGGGTCTGTTGCCTGATCCCGGACAAATTCGTTCTTTCGGGACCCAAGCGAGAACTCGACTAAACTGCTATTCGTTCGCTCTTTAGGGTGTAATTCAAAAAAGAATCAAGTAATTAACTAATCAGCCAGGGACTGGTGCAATACCGCTCAGGGAAGGACTTATGCTTGCCTCCGCGCCAATGTCAAACTAGAAGCGAGAAGCTCTTCAAGCTTTTCCAGCTTCGCTCACCTCTCTGCTTTTTGAGTCTACATACAGGCCCCTTCTTTGTGAGCCTTCATCACGCTATCGCGGATTTCTTGGGAAATTCGTGTCTTGTCTGTTCCTTTGCACTCTGCAACAAGTTGTCCTTTTCCAGGAAATCTGAGAGGAAAGCTATTCACATAATTTCTCATCAAATAGCATGTGTCCTCGCCTATCTATCTTTCAAGCGGTGGCCGCACGCAATGTGGGGTGCAAAATGAGGTAGTTCTTCTCATGTTTCCTGTTCGCATTCCATCTCAAGTGATTCCAAGTGTGTGGTCTTAGCAAACTCTTCTTAAATGCGACAGTCACGCAATGGGCGCACTTTTTCACGAACAAGTAGCAGTTGTTTTGTTATGAGAGTCAGTCGTTTGAAAAACCACTAGACGTCGCCATTTCTCCGGTCTCCGCCTCTTCCATTAGACTGCTCAATTCGAGTTTGACTACTCCTTGCTTTTATCTGCAATTCCCAGCTTCTCGCCTGAGTTCTATGTCAAATTTTGTTCAATTAGGAAAGAGTACTTGAATAATTAGCTAGATCTTGCGCCATCAGAGTATGGTTCATTCCGGCGCGACGCATCAATAAGCAGGGTACAGCATGGTGATGTGTGAAATGGTGATGTCAGCACGACCCCCACTCTCAAAGGAGGGTCCGGCACGACCCCTCGCCAGCTAAAAAGACGTCTCGTACCGATCCCCCCCCTTCAACAACACCTGTCTGCCAATTTCCCACAATTTTCGAGTTTTTCCACCCGAAAGCTTCTTCGTTAAGCGGAAGTGGGGCACATCATAGCCAGTGGGGAACGGGGAAATTTCTCAGATCTTCCCACCCTTCACCACTTTTTCAACCGAGAATTCCCGAAAAAAATTTCATATTTTCCCCAAAGATTTTGCTGTCGAGGTAGGGGAGGGGGGGAGCCATATAATACACATGAAACAGGAAAAATCATGGAAAGCCAACCCGGGAAAGATTCCAAACGCGGTAATTCCTCTTAACCGTACCACTACTCCTCCCAATAACGAGCAATACGACCCCTCTCTTCCAGTGGGCAAGTACGGCCATATTGCCATTGCAGGGCAATATACAGGGGGGCCAAAAAAAGTCACTTTGCTTCATTGACTTTCGAGGCGCTATAAGTTACACTTTATAAATTCTGATCGGACATTTCTACCACCATATTAAAGAGCATATTAAATACTATTATGACACTCCGCCACAGCCTTCTGGAGGAGCGATAAGGTCCCTGAGATCAGCGAGATAGTCGATTTCTCCGCCACCGTAGACCACCCTATTGAACTCCGCCCGAACCGGGTAATTGAGGGGATTCAGGTCAGGTGACCTACTTGGATATTCCATCTTCTTTAGGTACTCAGCCCCTTCCATTCCAGGTAGGCGAGAGTTTCTCCAACGCCCTTCGATTCCACGTGTTGGCACCCAATGCTGTAGCGATTCGTATCTATAATTTCCAAGAGTACTGGCGACTGACATGTGGGGAACGGTATTCTTCTTGAATTGTCATCTGTAAACCGCCAGCGCTCAGCTTCAGCCCGGGGTCCACGAAGAAAATATTGGTCTTTCCATTCCAGGTGCGTCCGGTCCATACCATCAACCCGCGCCTTGGCGACTGCCGTGAAGATGATGTCCTAGACCGTAGCGACGTTGTCGGAGCTGCTCGATGTTGGAGGTCTTCCAGATTGAGAGTACTGGTCTCCAGGTAGCTACCCATGGGTGACTCCACACTAGAAGTTTCGCAGCTGTTTGGAGGTGACATGAATTCCAAAGGTCTTCTCCAGTCAGCTGCGACTGGAGATGACCTCATATTTTGGTGTACATGAAGGTGATGGGCGAGGCCAGCTCCTGCTTAGAGGAACATCTTGGGTATCTTCCGCCCTGGTACTCGTATCCACGTCTTCTCTCTGGGCTGCGAAAACTTTGCTGATATGTGACTCGGTCGAAGTGACTTTTTTTGCCCCCCCCCCCCCTCTATAGGCCTTGTGCCCAGTAAAACATATTTCTGGAGACATCAATGAATGAAAACCTTCCCTGTACAAGTAGTCCGATCCTCATTCCCAAACACATTCGCGGCCCTCCAATGAGTGACAAGAGCGTCGCAGTCGTCATAAACCAAAGTTTCGTCACCCGTGGATGTTGCCTTCTTGGGACCAAATAAGTCGGAGGTCTAGTATGGCTATAAATACAGATATGACGGATTGTATACATTCTGTCTGGCTAACCTTGTCGTCTTTCTCTGTGCCCTCTCTTCTTTTGTCTCCATCTCTCCCAAAAAGCGAAGGTGTTTTGCTTTTTGAATACTTGTCTAATTCTGTGGCCTCATTAGGCGTGTCTTTGACAATTTCCGTGCAATATTTTCCACTGACGTTCAACTGGCACCTGCAACTTCATACTTGTAATTCAAGCCCGAATGAATCGTTTCGGATAGCGTCTCCGTATGAATTGAAGGCATTTATGAAGGGAAGGGTGGTTTTCATTACATCTTGAGCAAGCTTATGTCCCTTCAGTGATCTTATTATTTTTGGCTTTTTCGGCATGATTTAATTATTCGAAGCCTCTACTCGTTCTCTTGAGCTGCTGGAGAACACAAATGTTACGGCACTGAGACGTTACGCTTGCCTGAAACTCTTTCGCAATGAAGGAATAATCACTAACGAACTGTTCTCTGGTCTCTAATCTGGCCGACTATCAGCGAACAGCTCCATGCGTATGATGGCTTCCTCTTTAGAGCACTCTTTGTTCTGATCCACCGCCTCATGTTCTTCTTGCTTTTTCCGTGACAGGCGTCATTTGTTCCCCAGGAATACTTTTCATTGTCCTGACATAAGGTCCGGTCCGCCATAAATATGCCTAGAAACCTTTTATCTGCCTACAGTGTGACTCGGAACGATGGTGAAAAAAGTCTGCTCTTATAGGAGATGACAGTGGGGATGGCGAAGTGGGGAGGGGTCGCTAGACCATAGAAGAAAATTTGGAGAGTCGTCTTTTGCAGAAAATTTTACTCAGTGAACTGACATGCTTTAATCGGGCTGTACCGCTTAGAAGAACTCAAGGGCCATCTGCACTGTCATGACTTCAGTTTGACCATGTTTTTTTTTGTTTTTTTTTCTCACCGTTAGATGGTAGTGTCATTGGATGACATAAGGAAACGACAATCGAGCCAGAGGAGGCAGGATATAAGCATTCATGGCACTGAAATGAGCAGATTTGCAGAACGCGTCCAGTGAGGCTGCCAGGTCCTTACAACAGGGTGTTCTCCAAGAATTTTTTTGTTCTTTTTTTCTTACATGGAGGGTTCAGCGAATATAGGTTTGTAGTAAGGTTGAATGCTACTATCCACAAGATGCAAACTGCGTGGTTTGTCTACGAGCATGATCACAAAGCTCACTAAACCAGGCAGTACTGAACAGCAATTAGTCGTCAGTTGTAGCTGAGCTGACCGCTTCATTCTCTCAGCTGTTTCAGCTGCCCCGCAGTGTGGGTATTTCACAGGATCTTTCAAATTTATTTTTTCTCATCGCACTTGTACTTTACTGACCACGTGATTGATTAAGATTCTTCATTGACTGGCTTCTCTTCAACGGACCCAGACTCATTACACAATCCCCTCCAATTCTTCTCAAAAGAACAAGACTTTTTGGTTTTTTCCGCGCCATTTTCTCCATGTGTCAGTTTCATTGCTCGATTCTCAGAAAGAAATCTTAATCGATACCGGCGATGATTCTCGCTATAGGGAGCATGGAACATCAGAACCACCCAGTCTTGGTTATATTCAGCCGAAACGTTCGATAAATCCAGAGTAATAGTATCAACTCTACTGCGTCCTCCAACCAGGCAGCAGTGTCGACGAAGAGTTTTGCGTATTTTGGCTCAAAAGGAGACCCTTTGTAATATCTAGGGGCTCCTTCAATTCTATAGAATGCTACTAGCGGTTCCGTTAAAGAGGAGGGGGCATTCAGTGACGTGCTGGGACATTTTGTAGAGTACTGTAAAGTGCCCTAGATTGATGTTTTTGTATAATACAGCTTCAATGAACGGATTATCGGCGTTTACCGGGAATGATTGCTGATGACGTACATGTACATGAAAAGGACTTGAAGGGAATTAAAGGTTATCAAGATGGCCTCGTACAAAAAAGTATGCACAGGGCTTCGATTACCCGGCTATTCATAAGTAGTTTTCGCTTGATGTTAAAGTAATGAGAGGAAGGCGGCGGATGAGGGCGAACTAAATGACGGATATGACGCTCATCTCATGGTCAGTTCGAAGAGCTCAGATAAGGACTTCGCCAATTCAGAAACGAACTTCACTGCATGTCCTTTTCATGCTTTTCTTCTTATGCTGCGATCCTGCTTACAGGGGAACTTCTCTGGGAGCGTTGCCAGAAGAGGTGAATTCTTGCTCACCGGCGCGTCAGGGGCGGACCCTTGGGTTCGGAGCGGCGACAACCCATTTTTCACCAACTATGGAAGTAGGCATTGAAGAAGGAGTTGACGCGTTGACGCGTTCTCTCCTTCAGACCCTCTTCAAACCCAGCCCCCTGACATGCCCCAGCATCCATAGCGAACAATACTGTGTGTGGCTGCGTTCATACTTTGCGGCAGTATCCACTAGCGACCAGGCGTCCACCAGCGACCACTAGCGTTCCGAGCGTCTGACAGCGCCAGCGACTAGGAAAGTATAGATATCGATTCAGCTTCTACCAGCGACCATCAGCGTCCACTAGCAGCCAGCAGCGTCCCAAGGGCTGGCGAAGTATTGGTAACAGGCGATTAGCAGCGTTCAGCAGTGGGGAGCATGAGTCGATAGGAGGGTAGCAGACGGTAGAGAGCATGGGGCATGGATAAGAAAGTACCAGCTATCTGCTACCCTTTCACCCCAAACGCTCCACTTCCGCACGCTGCTGCTCGACGGTGGACGCTGGTAGACGCTGCTGGTTACTAGGTCGTCCCTGGCTATCGAAGCGCTTGTAGTGGCTCGTGAACGCTGCTGGTCGCTGGTGGACGTTGCCGCCAAGGATGAACGCAGCCCAGCTACCACCCAAGTATCGTCACATATATCAGGAACAAAATATGGTGGTGACAGATTTCGTGAGGAACAGGACCGTGTATTGTTTAAGAACAGACACTCAGAATCCAACAAGAGACCTTTTGCTTCGAGGGGCCCTCACAACTGTTTGTGCGAAGCGCCGAACAGTTCGCAGCATACCTGACTCCCTACTTGCATTTAGACGAGTTTTTCCCGGGCTTCCCCGAGCTTTAGCGAGCCACTGCTTTGCGAGTTAGAAATGCTAGCCCAAGCCTCGCTCCGCTGTGCACTTCACTGAGGCGCACTCTAAGGGCAGGTGGCGCCCTTTAAAAGAAGCTGTTCCAGCTAGAATGACAACAATTCCATGAAATCGGTAATGCTCCGGGGAATGACTTAATTATGGGCAATTGAAGTCCGATTCCATTCCTGCAAAAACAGAATGTCCAGGGATTTCTCAAACAAGCATTATGCCCTTTTGACGAGAGATAAAAAAATTTGACAAGCCAATAATGGGATGGGCGGGCTGTTTTCACAGCTTTCCTAGTCGTGGGCTGTTCCATGGTTTTCTAGTCATGGGCTGTTCCATGGACATGTTCCAAATGCGGAAAAAACTCCGGAAATCCATTCAGGACTAGCCTTCTTTCGGGCTGTTGAATAGCTTGGAGTAACTTGTGACAATTGCCCTCTTTTGCCACAACCAGTCGGAGAACATTAAGAGACCACTTTCCGGTACAGGAAATATCCATCACTATGGACGAGATGAATGAGAAATCTGTCAGACAATGGCCATTTGATCGACCACGACCTGCTTGAAATGCGTTTATCTGCTTGGCTTACCAACTAGTTTGCCTGAGGTTTTTGCCTTTTTTCCTCATTTCCGTCATCACCAACCACTTTTCTCTTATTTTTCTCAATGATCACTTGAAATGTGGAACGACAATAATTGCCCCATTTCCTTCGAATATCCAAGATGCAGAGATCATTTTGAGCAGTGATACTTCCTGGCTGAGCTTCCGGGAAAGTTTTAGAGGTCCCCAGGGCACAGCGTGTTCCAAAACACATCCTGTCGTCAAAGATCCGTAAACGAAGGGCCTTCACTCTTCTCACGTGATTTTTGAGAACAGAAGAAAAATGGAAAATATTGGCTTTCCCCACCCTTCCTGCATCGAAGAGGTGCCCTTAATGCTCTCCTTCTTCGTTTGAACCTCTAGACTTTAACAAGTTTTGCAGCTAACTTCTTCGAAGATATCATGCTTACTTTGATACCTCCTTCAGACTGCTGTGAACTTACTCATTACTTTGCTGATTATGGGTTAGCGAAAGGATAATTTCCTACAATGGGCTCTATAGAGACTCAAAACAAAGAGGAGCTTTCGTGAATTTGCAGGCGTTACCAAGAAGATACGACCTTGTCCTCAACATCGAGACATCGTGAAAAAGTGTGCTGAAGAAAGCGTTATTCTTTGAACGCGTTTCTGCACCAAAGAGGGGTGGATCAGTTGAATTTTCCAAGCTGCGCAAGTAACTCGAGTACTACCAAAGCTTGTAGAGTTCTTGGATGGATTTTCTTTGTTCTTCTTGGTTTTTATAAAATGTTCCTTTGTTATTTTTGTCGGCAAAAAAGCTCGATGCATGGCCATTTCTGCGTAAACATACCGCCAGGACAATTAGAGATGTTGTTAGATGTTTAGCTCTAAACTGGACTCAAATGGCTGAGGCGCCAAAAATAAGTGCTAGAATCGTGATCGGAGCCATCAGCTAGCCCTGTAAGCAAAGTTCCAGCAGAAAGTTTTCTGAGCTTTTTGGGTTATGGTGGCTGGCTTTAAATCAGTGGCTATCGGTCTCTTCTAGGGACTCATTATCCAATATCGTTACCTGCAACTTCCTCTTTATTCGTTCACAAATGCATTACTTACAACTATCAATTTCGAAAAAGAAAGTCCAAATACGTACTCCATCCAATCCATCTATCCCCGAGAAGTCGAAGAGGAAGAAGTTCCTTTCCCTCGGCGGGAGATAACGAGGTCTCCATTAAAAAAACCTAGGCGGTAGACTTTGAGGAAGATTCAGGATGCTTGCTTAGTCGCTTTTTTTGAGACGCGCTAAATTTGCGAATGCAAAAATGACAGCGGGTTTCACCAGTGACCTACACGGTAACGTAGATGTGAGATTTCGGGTGTCGCTGCCACCCAAACGGTCCATCTATAAACAGCAGAGCTCGAAATTTTTTCACCTTCATGTACACCAAAATATGAAGCCCAGCCTGACTGGAGAAGGCCTATGGAATTCACGTCACCTCCAAACAGCTGCGAAACTTCTTGTATGGAGTCACCCATGGACAGCTACCTGGAGACCAGCACTCTTGATCTGGAAGACCTCCAACATCGAGCAGCTCCGACAACGTCGCCACGGTCTAGGACATCTTCACCGCAGTCGCCAAGGCGCGGGTTGATGGTATGGACCGGAAGTTCCTGGAATGGAAAGACCGATATTTTCTTCGTGGACCCCGGACTGAAAGTGAACGCTGACTGTTACATCGAACAGCTCGAGGAGAATATCCTGCCTTCATGTCGTCGCCTGTACCATCTTGGAAACTTCGTACTGCTACAGGATTGGGTGCCAGCACATGGAATCGAAAACTCCCGCCTACTTGGAACCGAAGAGCTTTGAGAACCTGAAGACGGAATATCCAAGTGTGCCACCTGCCCTAAACCCCCTCGATTACCGGGTTCGGCGGAGCTCAACAGGGTGGTCTACAGTGGCGGAGAAATCAACGACCTCGCTGAACTCACCGAATGAGGTCGCGTGGCAGAATCTCTTCATGGCGCTCGTCTAGAGGCTTGTGATGGAGTCTCGTGATCGTGCACAATGTGTTGTTGAATTTGATGGTGGAAATGTCCAATCAGAATTTAATGAAGTGTACTTATTTCGCCTTGAAAGTCTACGAAGAAAGGTGTCTTTTTTGCCCTCCCCTGCAAATACTCAACGCTACAGCCGGAACAAGCCGAATGAGGTAGTCAAAAGTTCATAATCTGGGCGATTCCTATTGACTCCTTTTTGGCATTCCAAGACGTGCTCAGCAAAAATAAACCACACCGCTTATGGCCCGTGCATGCCCCTTACATCACACATGATACCTACCGTTCGCAGAAGCTGACCATGCCCTGATGATGCCCAAGGATGGACCTCCTTTGTGAGACCTTCGCGCTCGTAAAACAGGAGCATTCAGCAATTAGGATTCATTGAGGTTAACGTCGGTTTCGTAAAAATGGCACCTTCCTGCTTTTGAGCGGTATCGGAGACCGAGGCATTCTTTGTATGGATGTGCTACTGCGGACAGGAAAACCTGAATCATGCTTATGAGGTTCTTACAATACTTTAGATCTCTGATCAACACTATATCCACTGGCTTCAGTGTTCGTCGGGCTAGGATCTCACGTGCTAGGATGCGACACCCTCTTTTGAAAATTCGGAAGTCCTTGTGCGCCTTATGTGGCAGATTCGGCCTGTGGTGGTAACACATCATTCTTGAGACTGAAAGGACACTTGGAAAAGTCCTTTTTCCGTAGACATGATCTTTTCCCTCAATTGTTGGCTCACGCCGCCTAGTCTGACTACTACTGCTCGCCTAACATTATTGGTTATTGCTTTCTGCTAACGATCTATTGCTATCCCTCCCGGCCTTCTCTTCGGCCCGTATTCATGTTCATGCTCTACCTCCTCCAGGTTCTTTTTATGCTATAATTTTTCTACTGGCTTTGATTGCTTGGTCAGTTGTTCTCTTTAAGCTGGGGAGACGCACGCCCTATCGGTGTACCAAACACCCGGCACTACTACCAAGGTTTTACTCCGCGGTCGATTCCGATCGCTTCATTTCGTCAGCCAAAAAAAAACTAAAAGGTCGGCTGATTCTTGCAAATCTTTGTTCAGAATATTCAACTAATCAAGTTCCTTTAGGGGAATCTAAAGTAAATAGCGAGGCATTGCACAGAGATCGTCCGAGACGACCTCTTCTAGAGGGTGTCGTCTCTGAGGACCCTCGAAGTGAGGTTAGCCTGCTGGGACAAGTGTTTGCAACAATTCAAAAGGAGGTGAGAATAGGAGTGGGGAAAGAAAAACGGAATTGGTAAGGAGAATAAAAAAGAGCTTATGAGAAAGAGCAGGTCAAATGAAGAGTTGGCTAAGGGTGCCCTCTGGCTAGCATTGACATCAGCTGGCTACTTGAGCTGCACGAGACTGAAATACTGCTAATTCCCATAAGCTCTTTTTTAT